ATTGAGCGTAGTTGTAAGCCCTGGTCGAAATAAACCACGTTGTGACTGCTCACGGAGGATATACTTGGCTACTTGCAACGCTATGGTCACCAATCCCTCACCGTGCCTATACACACACACACACATATATATATATATATATATATATATATATATATATATATATATATATATATATATATATATATATATATATAGTGAATTTGGTGCAACAAAATGATGACTAAAATAATCGATGGCTCAAGTAGTCAGAGGTGAGCACTGATACATTTTAGTAATTTTGAGGATGCAGAAGTTCGCACCCTTATAAAAATCCTATGTATGAACCTATAAGAAAATTACCATATATGGCTACATCATGAATTGGGCATATCAGGCTTTATATGAAATATATATATATATATATATAAGCGCAAGACAGAAAAATCCATAAAGAAAAAGGCTCCGGCTCGTGGGAACGTGGAATCCAAGGTGTAACCTCTGCATCGTGAGTGTGATGCGGGAACCACTGAGCTACCGACGAGCACGTCCTTCACATGCAATGGGCAAGCTATTTATATCTGCCACTTACAGCTAGTCATGGTCATCTTGGGGGGGGGGGAAACTATCGTGTTTTGAGCATTACCAGCAAAATGGTTCACTGAGCGCGTGGCGGCGTGCGCCTTCATCTCTAACGCGTACCTTGCCTTGTGGAGAGGAGTGGGTGGTCGTGAAGCCCCTGAACGCACACTCGCGCGCCTTCATATCGCGGTTAGGAGCATCTTATGTGTTAGCGGTCCTTAAAGGCCAACTCCGGTAATTTTACGAGGTCAATGAATCTGAACGAAATTCTCTGGGTATGTTCTTTTGTACATTTTAGTCCTTGCGAAATCACAGGTTTGAGTGATGTACTGTTCGTTTGCAAAGAAATTTTAAAGACTTCCTCAAAATGCTCACCTCACTTGCCAGAATTATTGGCAACACTGTATGTGCGACGTCATGTTTGCCATGTGCGCGGAAGTTACACTGCCGATGGCATCACTACTTTGGCCGATATAGCGTTTATTGTGCTTTCCACAAGGTGACGGTGGCGGCGTTTGGCACGAGTATAGCACGGGAATGCTTTCTTTCTTCCTCTGTGGTGTTTGGTCGGTGCTTCGCTGGTCTGGCTTTCTCAGTTTTCATACACCGCGCTGGCGGAACCAGTAAATGGCATCTGGCTCTACCAAATAGTACTTCATACACAGGCAGGGTACTCAGTTGGGTTTCGGTTTCGGTATTGCACATTTTTGCTAATTAAAAATTCTTTTCGAATTTCCTGAACATTTCAGCTATTGGGCTCGTAACAACAGTGTCTCAGGAACATAGAAACACCATAACTTTGACATGGCTAAAATCGCCGGAGTTGACCTTTAAGCTTTTACCGAATGGGCTCTGTTGTTACCGGGCACACAAAGGTCACTGCAATCATTGCACAGTGTTCATTTGCGAAAAGAGCATGCTTTTCAGACACAGCGAAGTGACAACTGAGACACTTACTCGGGTTCAGCTGTAGCTGTGAGTACGTTTCGTGCGTTATTTGTGCATGAGAAACGCTGGGCACGATTCGATCTGATTGCTATTCTGAGCGTGACCTTCCAGTTTGTTGCTATCGCCTTCGTTGCTTTACCTTTATGGCAATGATGTAACATTTTCTTCTGTATTTCTTAGAACAACCATAAATGAACATAGGCTTCCTGTTGACCTTTCGCTGGCTGAGATCGCTTTAGAGGAGAAAACAATTAGCAGTTCAACCTAAAACATGCTTAATTGTTTGACAACGCCACCTATTTAAGAACCAGTGAGTACACTCCGCAGCACTGGCACGCTCCAGAAAAGAAGAAAGCGCTCATAGCCAGTCAGGTTCTCCTCGCCCGATGGACCGTTCTCTATTGCGACGCGCATTTGTTAATAAAGACGATAGTCTTTCTTGGGAACCTTCGACGAAAAAATTTTGGTCTGTCTGTCAGTACATTTGTCTGTTTGTCCGCCTTAACGTTACCTCAAATGGCACCCAACGGCCGACCCTATCCGTAGCGCCCACCAATATTGCTCAAGGTTTAGCGATCATAGTTGTGCGATTTTCAATTAAAAAGCAATTTTTGTGCATATCTAAGGTGCCACAACAACGCATCGATGTTTTCTATGTCTGCCTTTATACTAGAAAAGGCACATAAAAGTAACTATAAGGAATGCAGCGTTTTATCGCGCACACTGACAGTGCAACGCGATGCTCAAAAAAGCGTTTTCAACGCTTTCCTTCGACTTCCCGCTGGTAGCACCTGCCAGTCGCTTTGCTTTCTTCACATTATCACCTCCGAGACTGGCACGCATTTTTCTCCACGGGCTGCAAGCCTTTGTTTTTGAAGATAACTGCCAGATGGCACTTGTGTCTAACGTGCCTAAATGCGATCGTTCACTTCCGCCACACGCTCGAAGCACTCTAACGCAGCGCCTGCAGAATACCATTCACCGATTTTCTTGTGCAGAACATCAAATGAACGTTTTGTTCACTCTATCCAGACGCAAGACTATCGTCTTTCGTCGGCTTTTACAGCGTAGCATGTAGATTTGGGCCAATTTTTTCCACTTTTGTTTGGTTCAATTTTCGCCCAAAAAGTCTTTCAAGAATGCTCCGTTGAAACGGCACGTCATTGATCGAGAAGGTTTGCGAATATTGTAGATCAACCTGTTAATATTGCATTCAAGACGTTAACACTCGTTATTAGAGCGGAAACTGCGTGACGATCAGTTACAATTAATGTTGGGATATCCGACGACACATTCCAACGCGCTTCTCCGCTTGTAAGTTGATCGAAGCTCTGGTCACCGCTATTAGTGCCAGTCTGTATCACTGTAAGCTGACGTTTCGTTGACGGGTTACAAGTTCGGCCGAATAAACAGTTTCATTTTGAGCAAGTAATTTCTGCCTCCTTCAGCGCCATGACCCCATGACACTGAATTTGACCTCGAAGGTGGGAGTTTCTCCTGCGCGTTGATGAACAATAAAAAATCGCCGTGTGTGCGTAAACTATAAACGGACTGCGCATCTATGAGTACGATCGGAGTGCTCTGTCTCTTATAGCTCATCATCAGTGATCGCCATGTTCCAGTAGCAAAAACTAGTCAAACACTGCGTTTATTGCGCCTCCCGAAGTTTCTTTCAAACGCAACGCCGCGATGAGTGCCAGCGTCCGCTTCTTTGCATCTATACATGATTAAATCGACATGGTCGCATCTACAGAACGGTAAATGACATGGCTACTTTCACTACATTTTTCTTAAATTCGGACTGCTTTTCAAATCTACCGAACAACAACCCCGTGCATAATGTTCTACGGATGTCTGTCTGCACCGGTGCAACAGTGACTACAGTGCTAACGCGAACGTCGTGGGTCCGATTTTTGCTGCGACGGTTGCATTTCGATGGAGGTGAAATAGTAGAGGCCCATGTACTGTGCGAAAGAACATCAGAATCAAATCGAGCCCTCCACAACGGCGTCTCTGTAATCTTTTAGTGGTTTTGGGTGGGAAAACCCCTGATGTTGTCTTTATATTTCCTGGCCATAGAGATGTCTCCTGCATGGACCATACTTGGTCCGCAGTATGTGATAAATAAAATAAATAAATCTACCACCACTTCAGCGAAACGCGGGCATCCTCTACATTGTCTGCTTCAAGTTTTTCGTGTGCCGCAGCAGCTACTCCGGGTCAGGGTTGTACTGTAGGAGGGGTGTGTCACACCAGGCAAGCAAAAAAAAAAAAAAACCAGAATGCAAATGCTTCAGTATACCGTCGGCTGACGATGAGATGCCTGGGGAGTGCAGCCCGTCTGCTAATCGCGCTGTATCTTCAGGACCTGACCTTCCTTCAACGTTGCACCCATGAAAAACTTTTATGACCCAGTGCCTTCCTTTCCTCCTACTAGGCCACAGTGGCGTTTTCTAGCAATGAGATGCTTGTGAAAGTTTTTGAAACTGATAAGGAGTGCTTGTACAGCGTGATCTGCAAAAGTATAACGCAGCTTCAGGTAATTTGTGCAGTGCACAAGAAGTTCGATTTGTTTCAACAGAGAAACTGTTCTGGTCAAGAATGTACGTTCGTGGGCACCATGAGCCAAATACATGCACCGAAGGCTGCATGCCACCACCCACCAACTTAAATTGAGGATAAAGTTGGGTGTGCGCAACAGAAATCTTTGTTGCCTAACAAAAAACTATCATAATTGACGCTTATATGCCACAGAATAGGGTGAGTGCATACAACTTCCTCTAAAAAGAAAGGAGGCCCGACCAATCGCGTGCGCGATACTTAGTTGTAAATTGTGGTGGCTATACCTCAAAGCTTAATAAATAGCAACTAATAAATAGCAGTGAGAGCACATACCCGAGCTCTTAAAGTGAATGCTTCTTCGTGAAGCTGCGTGTAAGAGTGGTATGGTCAACATGCAATACAACTCTGCTACCACCTGAAAGCTTAACAAGGTGTAATAAAATTACAAAACATACCATAGAGAGTTGTTAAACATGGACATGCGTTTTACGGGCAATGTTATTACCCCGATCTTCACTGTTTTATCAATGTCTGCGGAGCGGGGCTGGTTGCTTCTGATTGGCTGCAGTATAGGGTGCTTGAATAATGAAATACAAGAACGCGATTTTCTATATAAAAGAACTTTCAGTCTCAGTGCCTTTCTATGCGTTTTAATAAATGTCATATTCATATATACCCTTTGATAAGAATCTGGCGCAATTCAAGCACCGTGGTGCAGCAGTATGCCAACTTACGGAGGCGTACCCTACAAGCAATAAATGGCCTTGCCGAGTGCTTTACATTGTCACACGTAGGTGAAGCCTGGTACTACATGAATTGAGTAACCTGCCAAGTAACTAGGATGTTTACGCATTAAAAAAAGAAAAGCATTGACCAAAAGTAAGTAAGCATGTCTTTGTCTGATGTCGTATCATTTCATACGCAGGTCAACGCTATGAGGGCTACCTTCACCGTGCTGACTGTCGTCGTCTCGATGCTTCTCACTGCTGCCAAGGATGATGGAGGTACCGCTCAGAGCATGTGACTATACACTGCAACATTTCATCTAGTCCTCATGAATTCGGTTATTTACTCTGAATCGATTCACATGCCGCGTGTTATTGTGGCTCAAATTATTTTACAAAGGATGATAAAAATACTATTAGCTACAAGTGCATAGGATTGTTGCACGAAGAAAGCAGTCTCACGAGTGCAAAGTTGGTATGGCATGGTTATCAGGCCCTGAAGATCAGCACTTAGGTTGACCCAAGTGGCTTCCACGTTGGGACAGTGTAGTTACGGTTAATACAGCCAGTGCCCAAATGGAGGTAAGAGATGTCGTCCTTTTTTTAATCTGAGCGAGCCTGTTCGTTCTCTTTACAACACAATATTACTAGCGGCTATGAAGCTCTGGGGCACTTATGTTAAGGAACACTTGCCTTGGTAGTTGGAAAGGTCCGAATGTGGGTAGAGGTTACACAAACGAAGGAAGCTCTAAAAGACCCAGAGGGACACTTTATTGGGTAAAAACAAAGGACGTGGGACTAACACCTATAGAACGAACACAGACATTACCTAATTACCTATCGACCGCGTCATCACTCAAATGCACTCGCAGTCCGTGGGAGGCATTCGTGCGGTGTTGGCCAGCGGGCTGCGATGGTAGCGAAAAAATATAGGCTTGCGCCTGGCCTTGGCGATGGTGACGACACCGTGCGTAGCTGGCGACACCAGGACGAGGCACGGCCACTGAAGTGCATCAGACCGCCGTGCGAGGTTCTCCGAACAGGGGTGCTATGCAGGGTGGCCTGAGTTATGTCGAGAAACGAGCACAAAAATGCCCAATCTACCCCTCAGCATCTGCGTATCATTGGTTATGCTAGAACGCGGCATCGCTTCAAGGATGGCCCACTGGCCAAAGTTTGAAAGAAGATGCAAGAGGCATCTTCTTTCATTTGTTTGTCGTTCTACTGAGAGCAGAAGTGCACACATGCAATAAAGGTGTCAGAAACATTTAGTCATGATATTTCTTGAAGACACAGTCCGTTCAAATTCACATTGAAGCTTTAAATGCCTGTTTCAGGTATCCTTCTAGTAAAATCAGAGCCGTGGCCTCTGAGTTTAAACCCGGCCAAGCGCCTTACAACAACGCGGCCGCAGTTAAACCTGAGGCCTTGTGTAAATTCGTCATTGTCGGCATGAACATTTTGTTTGTTTGTTTGTTCGGTTGTTTATAGCCTGTATACAACAGCATAGACCTACTCTGGGGGACTGACCAACGAAATATTACATATCCTATGGACGGTAACAGCACTGTTGCTTATAAACAGTATTGTAAAAGAAACAAAACATTACAAAACTCATGAGACAAAGATTGAGAAACAAGAAAAAAATATGCGCTGTTAAGATAGCTGATATTTGATTTTTTAGGCTGACCTAATAGCTAAGATTACCTAAACAGCTAAATCTTGGATGTATGGCTTATATATTATAATATTTTAAAAGTACTTCCCAATGACTTTTTAATATATAATAAAGAGGACATCATGTTCAAATACGTTTTGTGACTTCAATGTAGTTACCCACCACATCAAACAGATCTGTGGTGATGTCCTAAAATGGAGTCACCGTAATTTAGAACAGATTCTGCGGTTAAACCTAAACCTAGCTTCGCAAACCGAATAGCTGGAGTCGTGGCCGGCGAAGGCCTCTTCATTGTTTTCATCATTTGCTAGCTCTCCGAGCATGCACAACCCTCTAATTAGCATTTGACTAGACAGTATGCTTGGCTAGGGAGATCAGGCCATGCTATGACCAAGGTAAATATGTCAAGCCATCATCATAATTAGGTCAAGCTACATCATAACAAGACCATACAATGAGGCCATTAAAATCCAGAGTCATGCTAACAAAAGTATGCTAATCAACATGCTATTTAAGGTAGGTCTATAAACACGACAATAATCATGAGCATTCTGAGCAATATCATGCTAATTACGTCTAACAATTATTATGAAGGTAAACAAAATCGCGATGGTGAGAAATATTTTAAATAGCTTCATACTGATCAAGAACTTGTTAATAGCACCCGCGGCAAGAAATTATCATCGCTTTATTTGAGCGCTAACAGTCAAGACAAAACTGACCAATGTTATATTCATTAAGCTCTGGAGTTTTGTTATATCAAACTTAATACAGACATGATGCAGTTTTCATAATGTAGCCGACCAAGCAGACTGAGTAGATGAGCGACTTAGAAAGCTGTAAGAAGTAATCTGATCCCAAGCTCCTCTATGCCTCTAGCCATGCACACGTAGGGCGAGCAGATAAAAATTCGAGGGTTTATCGGCCTTGCGTGGGTAGGTAGGTAGGTAGTAAACTTTATTCACTCAGTTGACAGGAGAGAGTTGGGGCGGCTTTAAGGGCCGGCCCCTTAGCGTGGGACCGATGGCAGCACTGCTAACCACGCTCGCATCACCTAAGTTCAAGGATTCACTCACTTTCGAGGCGCGGTGCCGTATAGAAACTACTGTCGTGGTAAAACTTGGTAAAGGCGCAGTTGCTAAGCAAAGACGCAAATAAAGGACGCAAGCAAAGATGCACTTGGTTATCTTGCGTGTGGTGGCAACCGACACTGTTGTAACAACCGAGGAGTCCACTTTTAACGCTAATTTCAAGAGCACAGCGCTTTGTTTCTTAAAACTGTGGCCGCCGTCTCCGCAGCGAGTGCTGCACAATGGTGATCAAAATACTGCTGTGTGCCTCTATATGATCACCTAGCCTTTACAAGGGTGTTAGCTTTCAAAACTATCATGAGGACCTGAAGCTGAGGAAGAAGTAGATACTCAAACTCGGATAGAAAAAGCGCTCACACCTTCATTGACCGCGTTCAACACGCACTTTGCTAAAAGTGACGTTTACTCCATCCGCATTACGCTCCACTTTTCGGTATACATGCAACCGTGTTTCAGCGGCTTGCACGCAGGCTACAGGTGTAGGCGACTTACACCAAATGAGGTGCCCCCTCCCCCTCCCCCCCAACCAACTGCGGAGGCTGGTGAGCTGACGACGCCGCTTCCAATTTTTCTCGGGTAAGCACACCTCGTGAGCGCAGCTGAGCGGAGTAGGGCATCTTAGACTACAGCTTCATTTAGTTAGCGTACGTATATATATGCGTAAATCAAAACAAGTGCGTGGCGAGCGCACTGCTTACCATAAATTTATAGGCAAAAGCTGCTGTCACTGTTTAGTGCTCATTCACTAGAGGCTGTCACATAGTATTTGTGGTCCTGCGCACGACAATCAGATATTCCTATGTGTTATATTTTCATAACCGAGCGACGGCCCTGTGTGATAACAATATGAAGTCGCTCTCGCGGTAATATTTTGATGTCACTTCAGAATTTCACTTGAACAAACATTATTGAGAAAAATCGCAGTCATTTGCATCGGCCATTTGCATTAAGATGGAACTTGCCTCCTTCCTGATTCACACCAGCACCTACCGCTGAAAAGTTATTTTTTGCAATACCACTAGGGCTTATGTCATGCCCATGCCCCTAATTGCAATCAAAGCACGAATATCTCAAATTTGGCGATTTGATGATGCTTTGCATATTTACGTAAATGCCTTGAACGGTTGACTGACTGCCGGAGCAGCTATGTAAACAGGTGCTCTGCAGTAATTATCCCATGTGATGTCTGCGAATGCAAGAGTGGGCCAAATCAGCCATTCTGAAATATATCCTGGTGTTCACTGTCACTATTTTTGCACTGCAGATAAAATACCCCAAACAAAAGGGCAGGCGTGCCCTTCTGTTTAGGATTGTAGAGAAAGCTAACGCCCTTTTCACAGGTGAACAAAGCACACTGAAGCACAAAGCAGTACCTCACCTTTGCGTAGCTCTCAATCGCCATGGCGACGTTGAGTGGCGGGTTTGCAAGTCCACGTTTTCACAGGATCAGAGCCGCGATGGTGATGCGATATTCATTGAAAAGATCGGCTGTGCGCAGTCAAAAACGTGGCCTACGTCGCACACCACTGCGCGGTCAATGAGACACCACGACGTTTCTCTTGCTGTATGTACATGCTTGTATATGCTGGAAAAGGGCGTTCTTATTAAAATTTCGAAACACTGGAACTAATTAGTATTGCACAATGCAAACTGTAGTACACTCACACATATTTGTACTCTCTGAGCAGCAATGCGGTCGGCAGCATCGGCGTGCTCATCGAACTTCTGGGAGGTTTCTTGGTCCTCTCGATTGTGCTGCAACTAAAAGAAAATGATAATTGCACTCCAAAACATTTCTTGTGTGTGTTAGTTGAACCTCGCGAGGCTGTTCGTTCGACAAAGTACCCGCCCGAAGCAGACAATCTGTGCACAGAACCAGCGGCTGCTGCAGCATGGTTGACAGCGTAGTTCACGAACTGACGTCACACGCGAGAAGGAGCCACCCAAGATCTCGTGGCCAATAACATCCCCCGATCGGTCATCGATCGGAGTCGTTCCATATCGACCGTTAAGATGCATGCAAACTGCTGCAATCTATGACTGTTCGTTTTGGAGGGGTTTAGAGTGCTCTCCTGACAGAGAGAGAGAGAGAGAGAGAGGAAGTGGCTGAGGAAAGGATAAGGATGCAACCTCACTCTCTCAGGTAGAGTGCTCTAGAGTGCTCCGAACACGGAGGAAGGAAAGGTAAGGAGAGGGCATGCCCAGCCGGTGCAGGGCGTAAAAAATGCGGTGGAAATTACGTCACGCGCGGTAATATTCACTGGGCACAATGGCGGCGTTTTGTTATTATTGATGTAGTGCGGTGCGGCACCGTTCAGGCGGTCCAGCGGAGGTGTGTGCGTTGTCATGGGCCTCGCACCTAACCGTGGCGTACTGCAGGTGTTCGACAGCATCCATTCTTTGTACCGCATTGTTAGCTACTCGATTTTCCTCCGGTGGTGGTTGTAACCAGGTGCCCGAACTAGAAACCACGAAACAAGAGATGCGTACTCCGAATTCGCAGCACCCAT